CTAAAGCAAGATGTTAATGATAAGGAAACTGTGACTTGGGATGGGGCATTTTGTCAAAAATTCTTAGTAGCATTGTGTTTGAATTTGTATTTTTAAGTAACATCTGTGAGAAATTGGAACATGTGCCTGAAGTTGCTTATCTACTATCCTATTTCCTGCCATCTTCCTACCTAAGTGAGCAGGTTTCTTAGTCACCTGCTGCCCCAACCCTGGTGCCCCCTGCACACTCAGCATGTGCTCACCTAGCAATGAGACCCTGAGTGTGAGGAGGGCCAAGGTTGGGTACACTGGAGTTGCAGGGCAGAGCCTCTGTGTACCCACAAGGGTCTGTCTTCATGTTGTTAGTGTCCTCATGCCTGAGACAGCAATTCATTAAGTGTCAAACAATAATGCCATGACAGCTCTAGGGAGCTGTGTGTGTGTGTGTGTGTGTGTGTGTGTGTGTTTGTTCTTCCCCTCCCTTTGGAGGAAGGAACCCCACCTTTTCATGTTGCACTGAATTCCAAAATTCTACATAGCTGGACCCGAATCCTTCACCATCATTCCTATATCTGCTTAATTTCAGCTCCTCAAGTACATTCTCTAGTCACTCTAATGTAGGGGTTACAGATTTTTACTTTAAAAGAATTTGAAAGTATAATAGTTTAGGCTTTGTCATTTTAGTCCTTGTGGCAACTACTCACCTCTGATGTCGTAGCAGGAAAACAGCCATGGACAATGCATAAATGTATGGGCATGGCTGTGGCTCAATAAAAAACTCATTTATGGACAGAAAAATTGGTTTTCATACAGTTTTCATACATCCATAATATAATTCTTCCATGGACTTTTCCCCATCTATTTAAAATGTGAAAGCCTTTTTCAGTCCATAGGCTTTACAAAAATAGTAAGATGCTAGATTTGGACCAGGAATTGTAGTTTTCTGACTCCTGTTAATATGTATGGTTGCAATTCCTACAGAAAAAAGGAGACATGAGTGCTGGACTAGTTTTAGAGAGGAGGAGTTACAATAAACACAATTCCTTTTACACATTCAAACATAGCAAATTCCATTTATAATTTCAGTGACTTTGTGAAAATGCTTTTATATACTTAATGGCTCTGCAGAATTCCATTTGAGTAGTTAAAAAATTAGAATGTATAAAAATCAAATGAAGTAAATGTTTTAGGCCCATCCTCTTTTATCTGCAGTTTTAATATCCCTACCATCTCTTTAATCTTTTTTCCCACTACTGTTATTTTAGTCCTCCAGAGATGACTCTTAACTTCTGCCTCTGTCCTTTGTGTTTTGACGCACCATCTGCTTTTCTTGCGATTTGAATACATGAACCTTCCTTCTGATTTAACTACTTATGTAATCTTGAGTAAAACATTTGGCCCCTCTCAGTCATTGCATTCTGTACTAGTTTGGGTAATTCATGCTAGCTGCCACAACCGACAAACACAGAATCTCAATGGCCTAACATAAGGGGTTTTACTTTAATTTCTCATAAAGCCCAATGGGTTACATGATCTTCCTTCAACTTACAGCTACATCATCTGGACAGTAGGAGAGGAATAAAAAATATCTTTTGTACTAAACGGTAAATTGTTCACAATTGGTCATACGGCCCAACCAAAATGCAAATAAGGCTGTGAAATAAAAGGGAGACTATGGTGATAGTTGTTTTGAGCACTAAAATGATATGTAAAGTGATTCCTTAGAATAAGAGTTACCAAATGTTTGTTCTAAAGAGCCAGACAGTAAGTATTTTAAGTATTATGAATAATTTGGCCTCTCTGTCACAACTACTTAATTCTGCCAATGTAGTGTGAGAGCAGCTATAGACAAAAATTAAATTAATGGAAAATGGGCAGAGTTATGATCGAATAAATTTTATATTCAGAAATAGGAGTAATTCCAGATTTGGACCACAAGTCATAGTGTGCGAACCCTTACCTTAGAGCATGACTCATGTATAAGATTCTAATTTTTCATCACCTAATATACTCAGTGAGCTTTGGGCATTGCTTTCTCCTAATATTCCTTACACTGGCTAATGAAACCCAATAGACAGTTCTAAAGATGCAAAGAAGAATGAAGTCAAATGATCACTGCTCGGTGGTCTGGCTTTGGACTTTCTTTTAGCCTTCTTTTCTTCCTTTTTCCAGATTGTTCCTTTGAAACAGTCAGAACAAGATCATTTGCAGAACAAGATCATAGCATTCTGCTCAAACAAAGACAGGGACATATGTGGACTTGCATTAACGTGTATTGAGCAATCTAAACTGGGTCTCTATAGCATACAAACATACATCTCATATAGCATAGTGGTGTGTACGTTGAGAGATCTGCCACCCTAGACCTCTACTTAGAATCAACCTTCACACCTAATCAGATGCCAAGTCCTAGAATTAACGTCATTAACCATCTCCTAAAAACATCTGCTATCTTCACCTAATTCTACTGCTTTTCTAAAGGACTTTATAATATCTTGTCTTGGATTCTATAACATCTTCTTAAATAGTTTCACTTCCTCTGGTCCAACCCAGATCAATCCATTCTCTAAAGTGAGTTTATAATATACTAATCTGATTATGAAATATGCTTGCTTCGAAATCATTCAGTGGTTCTTTAAAATATTTAGGCTAAAGGAAAAACTCCTTAACATGGCATTTAGAACCGTTTATGATTTGACCTCTGCAACTTCCAATATTTCACATTTTGAACTCATCACTACTTTTGCATGCTTTTCACTATAGCCATATTGAACTATTTGCTTTTTTGTTTTTTACTTTCCTTCTGCCCATCCTTTTTCATCTGCCTACCAGTTTTGCTTCATGAAGATTCAACTTAGCTATGAATTGAGTCACTTCTCCATGGAAGCCTTTTCTGATTCCCTCCCTAAAGCAGAGACCCACCTTTTGGTTTCCTTATTTTCTGCGCTTTCACATATTGTAGTTCTTATCAATGACTACATATACTGTACACTCTACTGAAGCATAATTGCTTGCCTCACCCTCATGCACCATTTTTCCTCCCATCTCAAGCTTATAAACTGAGAGAACAGGAGAATCTTTGGTTTTTATTCCAATTGCAGTGTTTACCATGCATGGGAATCTGCAATTTAATATACATTCAGAAAATATTAATAGAAAGAGTTAACACAACAAAAGAAAACAAGTTGTTTGTCTTCATGATCACATAATTAATTGTTTTTAATGCAATTAGAACTATGAGTATTTGGCATTCAAAATCATGTATTTAGGAAACATTTAGAAGGAAGGAGATTGTATATATCAGTTGGCTTGACTTTTATAAAATTTATGGGTGAAACATTATAGAAAAGTAGTCCATTGTCTATATATAAAATGATACAAAAACACAATAAAATACAAGAAAATAAAACCTAGAATAATGGACATGCCTATATTTCTATAGAACTAGTATCATAGCTTGTGCCTCTTTAATTGCTGTTTTACAGCATAGTTCGAAGAACATTGAATGGGAATTTGAGATTCAGTAGCCTCAAGAAAGACATTTCATGAGAAACGAAACCTAACATTAAACTCTGATCTTATATACTTCAAAAGTAACTGTCTTGTGTGGGTACTAATTTGAATTCTATTACTGAGTTGATGTGTCATAATTATAAATGAGAGAATGAAGCATTTTGTGATCATTTTAAATCTTTAAATACTAAAAGCTGTAAGATGGAGATATTTCCTATATAATTATTTTACATTACAGACTAAATGATATCTACTTAGAAAACTGTAGAAGATAAATGAGTATCTTGTAGGGTGAACTGTAAGAGACAGTGTATGAGTATCTTTTAGGAAATAATCTATAGAATGCAGTGATTAAATAAATAAATATTTAAGGGTAAAGGAAACATTAGTGAATCAAAAGTTTATTTGGGTGGCGCTGGGGTTGTGGCTCGGTGGTAGCACACTTGCCTAGCATGCGTGAGGCACTGGCTTCGATTCTCAGCACCACATATAAATAAATAAAATAAAGGTCCATTGACAACTAAAAAATTATTTTTATAAAAGTTTATTTTGCTTTAAGTAAAATGAAGTACAATAACCTTTATTTTATGAAGCATATGTTTAGTCTCATAATTATAAGAAACATTCAGTATTTCAGTAATACATATGAAGAAAATAAAAGTAAAACTTGGATTGATTCTTGGGAAATGGATGTACATCTGAGAGCCAAAAAGACTGCAATTTTTCCAAAGAACAATGTTAGAAGCTCAGACAGGCCCGGAAAAAAGTGAATGTAATTGAAACTGTGGGAAAAAAAACAACTGCTATAGGGAATAATCCATTACTGAAAAAGAGTATAGATTATATCTGCTATTGTTCCATGATTTTAACTTTTATGTTTAAATTGACTTTTCTTGCTATTTGGGGATTAATTAAAATCCTTTTAAAAGAAAATCAAAGTTCACTACAAATATCAAGCAGATTCTTAGATCCTAGAAAATGTCCCATATAACTTTACTTAATTCTGGTGATAAATTCCAGCATATGGTTCTTGGGGATGATATCTAATTCCACCAATTCCTTGGACTATATAAGAATGAAAAAAGGAAAGTGCCTTAATTATACTTCAATGTTGTAAGGGTCCTTTTATTATTAGATTCTATGTCCTCAGGGTCTAACAAATGCCAGATGTTTAATAAATATTAGTTGAATGAAAGGTGACTTAAAGTTGTGACTTTCAAAATTGATCATTAAAAGAAATGCTGTGTAGTATTTTTTTTACCATCTTCTTGGAAAATCAATTAAACTCTAAATTATTATATCAACTGTACCATATGTTTCATTAAATAAACTTTTCATTATATAATTCATAAAGTGATTGTTTAGTATCTTTGTAAAGTATAATCATACTTTAGGTAGAGAACTCAAATAATTTAAATGAAAAAAATTATCACTTAGATTAAATTGTTGAGAAGGTTGGGCTAACAATGAATGTAATCATGTTAATATTTTTGTCATGCTTATTTTAGCCTAAACAACGAACATCTATTGTGTCTTCTCTGGATTTTCATCGAATGAACCACAACCAAGAATATTTTGAAATCAACACATCAACAGGGTGTACAGGCTTTACTACCAGCCCTCCTGTTAGCCCACCCACCTCTTCTGTGGGAACTACAGAAGTCAAGAATGAGGAAACTGACCATACAGGTGAAGTAATTCACTTTTTGCAGCTATATTTTTGAACTTTTAAGATTGAATGCTTTATGAATTATAGGAATTAAGAGAAGTTTCCTACAAATTGTATTGTGCTTTTGGCTCACATACACGTGTGGCAGTGTAGGGCTTTATGATTTTTGTCAGAGTTTGGGTATAATATTATTTTTTAATATGTTAATGGTCTTTCAAGTGTTAAACATTAAAGATGATACTTTAATATTGGTACATTACATGGTAGCTAAAGACCTACAAATGTTCTTCTTCCACTGCTATTTACCTCTCTACACAGAGGAGTTTCAAATAATTAACATATGACTTTGTTGATAGCTGCTATGAGGCTAGAACCTTTAATAAGGATATCTGGCAAGACTGAGTTGGACAACATGGGCATGGGTGGATTTTCTACCTGCATAAGCCAAGATGTACTTGGACAGGAGGGGCATGGGGGTAAGGGGAAGATTATGGAAAGTAACAACATCCACTAATAAAACATACCTGGTTAAACCCAATCAGATTTGCAATATTTCCTTGCTTTGGGGACAAAGGAACTAATAACTAAATGGTAAGGTCAAGGGACAGAATATGAGAAATGGGAGCCAAAGAAGTTTTTCCCTTTCTGTTTAATTTATAATAGGTACACTATTCAATTACTTTCCTTCAAAAAGATATGATTTTTAAATCCAGTAGATGTGATTAATATGGATTTAGTATCATAAAGTCTGGTCAGTATTTGCTTTCTGTGTAATATTTGTTCAAAATTTGTATTTAAGTCTTTTGATCTGACTCTACTTTTTAAAGCACTAATGCAAATATTCAAAAAATTTGAATATTTGCATTAGTGCTTTAAAAATTGTTTATCCCAAGGAAAAAAGCCAAGATTTTAAAAGTAATGACTAGTGGAAATGGTAAAATTGATATTACCTGGAAATTATCATCCAATATTTCATGGCAGCCGGAATCATATTTATAAAATGTAAATCAAATGCATGATTACCATGCTTAAAATGTGCCAAAGGCTTCCCACTCAATTAGAATAAAATCCATCTTGTTACCATGGCCATAAAGCCCAATTTAATCTGGATCCAACTAGTTCCTTTAACTTTGCCTTTGGCAAAATCAAGGCCCATACTGGCCTTCATTGCTGGACAACTGGCTCTGGGATTTTGCACTTTGGTTTCTTCCATCTTCTGTCTCTATCTTTAAATTTTCATGTGTCTGAGTGTCATTTATGTTTTGGCTTGAATGTATTTCCATATAGAGGCCTTTCCAGACTACCCTATCTCAAGTAGAAGCTACCAATATGATGATAATTGTAATATCAAAGAAGCAAAAAGAATAACAATAATAGTAAGTACTTCAGTGTCAGGCACTATTTTAGGTACTTTATTTATATCAACTCATTGAATTTTCATGACTGTTACATGAATTAGGGATTATTATCTGCAGATAAGTAAATACAATAAAGGCCAAGCTGAGTGTTAAACCTGGTGTAAGAGCTCATGTTCTCAACCATTTTTCTGTCACTGTTATGAAATCTTCCTGTCTTATTTCTTCAATAGCCTTATTTGTTATATAAAATAATATTAATTACCTTTTTACTTATATATTGTCTTCTGTAGTCTTTCTAGAATGCAAGCTTGAATAGATGGGTCTCTGGCACATCGTAGGCATTGAAGTCAGACTACCTCTCTGATTACTAATAATGAGACTGAACCTCTTGCCCATCTATGAAACTTGACCTTTTTATGTTCCAGTTTTCTTATCTATAGAATTACATTAACAATGAATTAATTAGACTAACACTGAAATGTGATAATGCATGTAAAGTGATTAGCATAATATCTGACATAGTTAATGCTCAAAAAATAGTAATAACTATTAGTAGTAGTAGCAGCAATTATGATATTACCATAATTCTTTCTAGTCTACATCAAGCCTATTCATTCAAGGAGTTTATTATTTATCTGCTATGTGCCAAATGCAGTTTTATAATAGAGGAGAAGTGGGATGTGATTTGTAAAGAAAAATGGTATATAGACCCTGGAAAGGGTCCTGAGTTACATAATTATTATTCATTCATTACTTATTTGAATGCCTAGTTCCAGATTTAAAATTCTAAAGTGGGAGGGATGAAAAGTATTTTGATACTTGCCTTTAGGAAATCTTTCTTGGCTTTACTTCAGTTGGAACACTATGTTTTTGAATGGTTAAGTTTTTAATTTTTTCAGCAATTCTTTCAGGTAGATAGAAATATTATTTATTTTTTCTTCTTTTTTTAACTAAAAGCAAGAAAAGTTAGCAGTGTAGTGTCAAAGGCCTGATGCCTTTCTGTACTCTGACATTGATCACCAGAGAGAAGGTATAAACACACATTTTACTGCTACTGGGACTTCAGTGGCACCATGCACAATGTGTGGAAAATTTGTCATCAGGTTTGACTTTTTTAAACAGAACCAAAATCTAACCTTTTAGCAGTTGAAATAGTTTCCAATAGCATATTACTATGGTTCTCTAATGTTGTATGTCATTTTCACATTTCATAAAAAATTTTAGAATAGACCAATATTTAGTAATAATGTGGAAGGACCAGGCTTACTTGTTTTATATGTTAAAAAGTAAAACTTTAAATTGTAAAAGTAAAATTTTTAAGCTACACATTTATCTTCTTGAAAAAGTAGCATTTCATTATCTTGCAGAGAGATAATTGGTTATACTTTGTACTTAAGAACCTTCACGGAAGACATTCCACATGGTACATAGAGAAAGAGAATGAATTTGAGTCCATTCTAATACTGATTTCCTCAGTATTTTACATCAAATACCTTAACTTTTCTGATCTTCAATTTGCTCTTCTGAAAAGGGGAAATAATATCCATTTCTTTGGGTATTTGTAGTCACAAATAAATTCACTATGTGAATGCACTTTGTAAACAATCAAAGCTAATATTCTTTAATATTATTCTTATTGTTTAATGTTTTACTTTTATTTTTCTTTACTATTATTATTTCAAATATATAATAATTTTAAGATAAAAGAGCTCTCTGTAAGCCTACACTTTTTATTTTTGGGGACTGAACTTTTCTTAAACATATAATTATATTAACTGATACACCTGCAGTTCATTTTATAAGTGATAGTTTTTTTGCAGAAAAAATTAATCTAAAAAAATGGCATTTAATAGAACAAAGATTAATAAACCTTTAAAAGTGAATTGGATTCTACAAAACACTAAGTGAACCAATGAATTTATTATAACAGGTCATTTTAAAAAGGATCCAAAATTGTGATTAAAGCTTCAAGATATCTGTCATCGAAAAAGGTTGTTAAAGAGGAAAAGCTTTGGTATTATTAGGCTGGGGAATGATATAAAAAGGCTTGCATTTAACTACAAAGATTTGTATTAATTATTAGTAAGTAGATTGAAATGAAGAAACAATGTCACCAGCAATGGAAAGATGTACATAGTTTCGAGAGATGCTAGGAAAGGATAAATTGATAGGTAGAGGTGTTTGACTGAGTGTACTCAGGTGAGGAGAAGAGTTGAAAGAAGGTTCTAAAGTTCCCAGCTTAAGTAGATGAGCCAGATCTGCCTGCTATTCTTTGAAATGAGGAATATTTGTAGGTAAGAATGTGGGGATAGATCATGTAAGTAAGACTTAATAGGCCATTGAAGGACTTTGGCTTTCACTTGGAATGAAATGAGGGTCCAATTCAGGTCTTCCAGAAGAAGAATCACATGGTCTATTTCTATTTTATGAGGATTTTGTAGAGAATGGACTGGGAAGAGGAATAGGGTAGAAGCAGAAAGGCCAGTCAGGAGGCAATAACAACTTAGCAGTAAGACAACAGAGGAGGGCAGCCAAGCTCAAAGATGAAGCTGTAGAGGTGGAGAGAAATAGGGATGTTGGAAATATTTTTAAGGTCGGTACAATAAGAGTTTACAGAGGAGTAGATATGATACATGCGAAAAAAGAGAATTAAGGATCCATTCAAGGTTTTTGTTCTGAATAACTATAAGAATTGACTTCTTAACATATGACATACAAGAAAGTATGGGAAGAGCAGATTTAGCAAATAGGAAAAAAAAATACTAGGAGTTCATTTTAAGTTCCAGATGTCTATTAGATATTTGAATTCATGTGATCCTTTTGAATGACTAGCAAGAGATTTTAGTTGCCAATGCATTCTTTTTATCCTCAGGTAATAGTTATTAATTGTTTAAATAGAGGTGGTGAGAAGTACTGGAAATCTAGATCTATTTTAAAGGTAGAGCCTCCTGTTTTTTTTTTTTTTAGGTTTGGATGTAAGATATGAGAAAATAAAAGGTACCAATATGTGATTCAAGAATTTGAGACCCTTTTGAATCACTGGAAGGATGGAGTTGATATTAATTAAGATGAGGAAGTCAGTTTTTGATATTTCAGTTTGAAACACTATTGGACATAAAAGTAGTAATATTGAGTAGATAGTTGAGAATGATTTTTACAGGGTGGAAGGAGACCACATGATAATTTTAAGTTCATCAAAAGTAGAAGGTATCAGTGTGAAAAGATTAAGAAACAGAAGCTTAGTCTATAAAGAGTAACTTAGAGGAGTTCTGAGTTCCTCAGTGAAAATCTCCTGGAAAGGCGTACTATGAATTCCTGGGGAAAAAGAAGATGAGAATAGTAAGTTGTAATAAATGTTCCCTCTTTATGGAAAGATCTCAAAATCTCTAAAAAATTTTGTGAGTTAGCACCTTCTGATCATACCTGCTAAGCAAGCCAACCACCCTAGCTAACTAATTATTTTCATTTTTGTTAGTATTTTCAATCCATCTACCTCCTGCTGGAGAAAACTGATGGGAGAGGAAATATTTTTTAAAAATAAAGTGGAAAAGTGCCTTTTTCCAAGTGGAAAAAAATAAAAGCCTTTAAGTACTCAGCAGAAGAGGATGCTTTTCTGCAAAGGAGAAGAAACACTAGAGGGGAACTAAAATTAGAATGGAGAG